GCGCACACACACACACACACACACACGAACTTTAGTATTTTATAGGAGGAACACTTTGAATCACAGGAAAGTTACAACTTACACACTATTTACTGCTGAGAAAGTGTATACAGTCTTACCCATGATTACCTGTGGGAGGAACTGGCTTATTAAATATTCAAAAAATGAGCAAAATTAAATTTGCTCGATTCCTGTGTGTGAAAACAGCTCTCTTAGTGTGGTGCTGTTTTGAAGGTCTGACTAGTTTAATCACACATGGATTCCTTTTTAAAAAAAATTTACTTTGTTATTTTGGAGGTGATATACAGGGGCTACATTTCCATGTGTCAGGTAGTAAGTACATTTCCCTTTGCACAGTGACATCTGTTCCCCTCTTTCTCTTCTATGCCCTCCCCCATCTCTGCTCACAAGCTGTACAGTTCACTTTCATCAGTGTCCTGTGCTCTCCACTGCTGCACTTTTCACCCTTTTCCTTGGATTTGCCACCCACACCCTCCCATAGAGGTGCACGTAAATATATATATATATATATATATGTATATATATAATATGTATATTATAAAGAATACAGAATCATCAGAAAAAGAAAAACCAAATTAAGAAAAAAGTCTTCTGTTTCCACATCTTGGAGTTTGTTTCAATCTGTATGTTACTTTATATAAATATGAAGAAGTGCTTAGGCATTACGCCTTTATGTGTCTCTCTGAAGCATATCCCCTTTTGGTCTCACTGTGAGTGTCTAGAATCCTATGTACTTTGTCCTATCCCAGTTTTAGATCTAACTTCCACATATTAGGGAGAACATGCACCATTTGTCTCTCTGAGCTTGGCTTACCTCCCATAACATGATTTGTTCTAGTCCCATCCATTTCCTTGCAAATGACATTATTTTATTCTTTCTAATGGCTGTGTAAAATTCCATTGTATATAGTTACCACATATTTTGGGTCCACACGTCTATTTTGGGGCATCTGGGTTTTTTCCACATCTTCGCTATTGTGAATAGTGCGGCAATGAACGTGGATGTGCAGGTGTCCTTAACCATATTCTTGCTCATGATGCTCAGGGTAGATGCCTAGGAGTGGTATGGCACACGTGGCTTCTTAATCCTTTTAAGTTTCCTTCCTCCCTCCCTCCCTCCCTCCCTCCCTCCCTCCCTCCCTTCCTTCCTTTCCTCCCCCTCCCTCACTCCTTTCTTGCTTTCTTGCTTTCATGGGGCTTGAACTCTGTGCCTAGGTGCTGTCTCTCAGCTGTTTAACTCAAGGCTAGCACTCTACCACTTGAGTCACAATGCCACTTCTGTTTTTTTTTTTGGCGGTTAATTGTAGATAAGAGTCTCACAGATTTTCCTGCCCGGGCTGGCTTTGGACTATGGTCCTCAGATCTCAGCCTCCTGAGTAGCTAGGATTATAGGTGTGAGCCACCGGTACCCGGATTACTCTTCTTTCTTTTTTAGCATTGACCATAGCTTTTCCTTTTTTATTTGGTGATATTGAGCTTTGAACTCAGGGCCTGGTACAGGCTTGGCTGGTGCTCTACAACTTGAGTCATATCTAGCTTGGATTTTTGCTGGTTATTGTGGAGATGAAATCTCATAGATATTGCTACCCAGGCTGGCTTTGAACTGTGATCCTCTAGATCTCAGCCTCCCGAGTAGCTAGCTAGCGTTATAGGCCAGTGCCTGGCCTGACCCAGCCCTCGCTTCTTTTGACCACATGGGAGTACTGCAGGAATGTGTCTCACTCTTCCTTTTTTGTTGTTGCATGAAGAGCAAAAATTTTATATTCCAAGAGGTTTCTGGAAGATGAGAAGCACCCTAGATGGAAAGTAGGGCCGTGTGTGTATGTGTGTGTGTGTTGGGAACTCTAAGAATTTCAGTGAATAAATTGTTAAGAAATACCCTAAATATACAACAATTAGAAGAGTATAATCAGCCCATCACCTAGATTACATTGTGTCTATGTTTTACCACATCGGTAATATTTTTACCCTTTTTCCTTTGTTCATTCTTTGCTGGAATATTTTATAGCAGGTTCTAGAAGGTAGCTCATTTTAGCCTCATGTACTTGAGTATGCCTGTCTTGAACAGCTAGGCTTTTATCTTGACATGTATGCTAGTTAAGAACCAACTGTGCACCAGGCTTCCTGCTAGGTATTAGGGTCCCTGGATGAATGAAGAAGATGTATTCCTGACTGCCAGTGCAGGGTTGAGGGGGGAAACAAAATCACGAGCTTCTAGGCGCCTCACTGCGCCTCTGTCAGCTGAAGTTTGTGGCTTGAAGAGAGAAGAGGGCGATGCAGGACAGGGTCTGAGAAGAGGTCAGCAGTGGTCATGGGAGGAAGAGCCCCCTGCCAGTGGGTATTATAGGCAGCCACAGTTCGGTTCAGGAGGGAGCAATCCGTGCTGGCTGGCGGTGGGACAGGCTCCTTCCGTGTTCCCTGTTCTCATCTGGCAATGTTGATTGCCTGCTTCCATGCTGGCTGTGCACTGAAATCAGAAATAACAGTCTTCACACTTGGGAACTCATAACCTGAGTGGGGGAGTTTGACACACAAATAGGTAATTTTACTTCATTAGTGAGATCTGATAAGTGTAGAATCCATTCTGGAAAAGACAGGAAAACAGGTGGCACCATCAATCATTTCACAGCTAGAGTCAGAGGCCGGCCGTTTTGTGTTAACCACATTAAATTCATTGAGTCATAATGTCATTAGCATTTATCAGCTGGCATTTCTGGAGACTTTATGATAAATGGTCACCATGCTTGAAATGGCTTGCTGTGTCCTAGAGTTCTGTTTGGTCACTTTCTCCTGGAGACCACCTCCTCGCTGCCAGCCAGCGTGGCGCCCCCCCCACCAGCTGTGCCATGAGCTGCTGTGTCTCCTCAGCACACTTGCTTTCCAAGGACGCATTGCTGGGCGCCCTGCAAGAAAGGGAGCCCCGGGGGAGGGGGGAGTGCGGGAGGGGGAGCTGGGAAGGGATGGGAAGGGGAAACAAAGGAGGAGGCAACAATGCTTGATAAGAAATGCACTCATTACCTTGCCCATGTAATTGTAACCCCTCTGTACAGCATTTTCACAATAAAAAAAAAAAGAAGAAGAAAGGGAGCCCCCAGGGGCAGACACTTTATCCCCTCCCCGCTCTGGTCGTGCCTGGTGGTAATAGGTTCCTGGTAAATGCTTGCTAATTGACCATTTCAGTGAGTGGTCATCGTGCATGGGCCTGATGCACCTGGTGTGCTTTTGTGACCTAAGTCTCAGATCAGGGGAACGGTGGGAATGAGCTACCTCTTTGGGCAGGAGTTGGGGACTCAGCTTGCCTGCCTCTCCTTGGCCGTGCTGAGAGCGGAGCTTAGGGTGCAGTCTCTACTGGAGAGCCCTCACTGTGCCCCAGCATGGCGAAGCCTGCAGCTGAGGTCACCGGACGTCCCTGGGGAGCCTTCACCAGGGACAGGAGCCCTGCCTGGGGCAGCAGAAGGAGGCCTGGTGGAGGCAGCAATGTCTTGGTATCAGACTGGCACTTGTGTCTGGTTATCCCCCCAAACATCCCTGGTCCCCTGTTTCTCTGCATTCTAACACCAGGGTTCCTTCCCCACGGCACATCCTGTTTTTTTTTTATTTTTATTTTTTGGCAGTTCTGTGGATCCCACTGAGGGCATTGCGTTTGCTGGTCTGCCGCTCACCACACATCTTGAGCCTTCCATCTTCTTCATAAAGGGGTTCACAGTATTTGTTGACAAAAGGGAAGTGGAATCAAAGACTGTACACTTCTGTGGTGTTTCAGTTGGCCGTGCGCTGAGATTTCCGCTATTAGTTTACACATGCCGTGTTGGGGGTGGCGGGAGGGAGGGAGGAGGACAGCTATTTAAATCCCTTGGTAACATCTTTACCTAGTTTAGCCAGGTTTCTGCATTCTTCTCATGCTTCAGAGAAATACTTTTTTTTTTTTTTTTTTTTTAGCCTAAGATCTGGATTTGAACTCAGTATTGCTCTACCACCACTAAACCCTGTACTTTTTTTTTTTTTTGTCAGTCATGGGGCCTGAACTCTGGGCCTGGGCGCTGTCCCTCAGCTTTTCAGCTCAAGGCTAGCCCCACTTGAGCCATGGCGCCACTTCCGGGTTTTTCTGCTTATGTGGTGCTGAGCCCAGGGCCCCATGCATGCAAGGCAAGCCGTCTACCACTGAGCCACCTTCCCAGCCCTAAACCCTGTACTTTCAAATTTTAATTTTTATTGTTATTATAAAGATGATGTACAGAGGGGTTACAGTTTCATAAGTCAGGTGATGAGTACATTTCCTATTTTTAAAATTATTTTTATTGTAAAGATACTGTACAGAGGGGTTACAGTTACATGAGTAAGGTAATGAGTACATTTCCTATTGAGCATTGTTAGGGGTATATTTCTTTTTGGACAGTGTCACCCCTTCATTCTTTCCCAGCTTTTCCCTCCACCCACAAGTTGTATCATTCATTTTCAATACAGTGTCTATTGAGTACCACTGCTGCATTTGTTCACCTTTTGTCCCTCAATTTCTATGCAAACCTGTACTTTTAAATTTAATGTCTTTGGCCGTTGGTACTGAAGGCCTACTGACCGTAGCATTGTCTTGAGCATAGTCCTTTACTGCAAGCTTATGAGGGTTATTTTCATGAAGTATTTTGAAATTATATCTCTGCAGAAGAGAGAATGTATGTTTTTAATATACAAAAGCATGCCAGTCAGGAGTGTCTCCTCTGTTCCCCATTGCCCCCCTCTCTCTACACACAGGGCAATATTTTTCGTGGTCTTTTTTTTTTTCCTGCTTATGTGGTGTTGAGGAATCGAACCCAGGGCCTCAGGCATGCAAGGAAAGTGCTCTACCACTGAGCCACCTTCCCAGCCCCTTTTTGTGGTCTTTGAGTGTGACGGTTGAAGCTGTTGTGTTTGAGTTGCCAGACAGATCTTACATGTGACACTGAGCATGTTTCCTCTGTGACACTTTTTGACTTTCGCTGTAGGAACACACAGAGGCTGGGCCGCCGTCCAGATGCGATTGCTTCACGAGCTGGTCTACGCCTCCCGGAGGATGGGGGACCCTGCCCTGGCTGTGCGACACCTGTCCTTTCTTCTGCAGACCATGCTGGACTTCCTGTCAGATCAGGGTGAGTGTGTTCCGACTGGGGTTCTTTTGACTGAGAGACTTTGCTGGCTCATGGAAGCCCTGGTCTGGGTACCAGGTACCAGGCTCCACCTGCCCTTGCCCGTCCTTCCTCTTTTTACTTCTTGAGCTCTCAGGGCACTGCCCTGTTCTTCTAGGCCTCTCCTGGCTCTCACCATGCGTTACACCTTCCTCTCAGCCCGTGGCCTCTTCCTCAGCCTCTGGTTTGGACACCTTTGCCTTTGCTTGCACTGCATTTAATTACCTGCTAAGGTGAGAGGCTCCTGTGGAGGCATGAGCACGGCCTCGGCTCAGCTGCTTTGTGCTGATTGCTCTTCAGGGCATCTCTCTAGTCTGCAATCCTGAAAGTCGTTCTTTTCTTTTTTTTTTTTTTTTTTTTTCATTGTCTCTTGAGTTCTACTACAAGTTCTGGAAGAGAAAATAGACTTCACGTGTGAGTTGGAATTAGCCACGGTAGGCTTTCCATTCCACGGCATTCCAAGAGTGAGGCTAGAAGAGATTGTGTTCGTGTGGATGACTGACAGCCCCGAGGGGACCTGGTCAGGCAATTACAGGACGGGGGCAGCTAGGATAGCAGTGTCCTCCTTTCTGGGTTTTGTTGTGTGTGGCTAGGTCCTGGTGGACAGTATCTCCCCTGTTTCTGTGTTCTTGCCAGGCACAAGTAGCCTTTTGTCTTTGATGAAGCCGCAGCATGATCGCTAGGGGAGTTTGAAGTGTAAGAGGTCCTGCCTGGGTGTGTGTAGGTAGTGGGAACATTTGTTTGCCCATAAAGTGCTTATGGGACCCTAACAGTTGCTAGAGGTCATGCTCAGTAGAACTTGGGCCTTTCATGAACTGTTGGACCAGCTGCTATGTTCTGAAACACAGGCGTGTGCTGTGTCTGGCTAGTTGGAGTCTTCTGAGGAGACAGAAGTCGGGGGGCTGTGAAGATCTTTCCACTCATCTCCCCACTAATTACTGTCTCAGCAAATCCATCAGTAAGTCCTTCACGAGGCTCTGTTTTCTCATGTGGTCAAGTAAGATGTGGAAAGTTCTCTGTGTTGGTTTGCTATCTTGAAGTGGTAGTTACATTGATTTAGTGGATGACCTTTCCCCCAAAGAGCTGCCTGGCCACGAGCATTTGTAAACGTGGCCTGGAAGTGCGGCAGGAGGGAGAGACTGCAGAGATAGCCAAGTGCACTTGCGGTTGAAGACAGTGCCACCTGGGTGTCTCCCGCTTCTCCCCGCCCCTCCCCCAGCCACCCACCTGTGCAGGACGGCGGCTCACGCGCAGCAAGGTCTGCACTCCCGGGGCCTTTGCTGGGTTTTATTGTGAAAGTACCATACAGAGGGGTTACAATTACATGGGCAAGGTAATGAGCACATGTGTTTTTGCAAGTTGTTCTGGAGGTTTCCTGTCTGGACGCGCAGGTGCAAGGCCTCCGTGGCGTTATAGCATGGATTCACAGAGCCATTGGCATCCCAGGCCTCAGGGCTTGTCATGCAGACGGAATGAAACGATATCATTTGGTAGAAAATGGATGAAACTGAGAACATCATGTTAAATGGCATAAACTAGTCTCTCTCTCTTTCTCTCTCTCTCTCTGTCAGTTGTGGGCCTTGAATTCCAGGTCTGGATGCTGTCCCTGAGCTTTTCTGCCCAAGGCTAGCACTCTACTATTGTGAGCCACAGAACCACTTCTCTAAGCCAGTCTTATAAAGACACTTATTGCATGTGTTCTCTTGTGTGTGTGTGTAAGCTAGGGGAAACCAGAACAGAACAGAATGGACTAGAACAAGATGGAACAGAGCAGAACGGAACAAAGCAGAGCAGAACAATGGTCAGGACAACTGGGCTTCTGAATGTGCTGAAGCCCAGCCCTGAGGGGTGGAGGTGGGGGGCTTGCCTTGCCACCATCATGTACAGTAGATTGTGCAGGGAGTCTGCCACTCAGCTGTGGTCACACGGGAGCCTAGTTCTGGTAACCCAGGTGCCATGTGGACTCCACTCACAGAACATGGTGCCCACCAGCCTCCTCTCCAGGGCAGTGGACAGGGTAGAGGAGGTCAGGATCTGGCTCGTTAGCCTCAGTCCCTCACTGTTGCTGGGATTCTAACAGGTTTGTGAATAGAGGTAATTGTGTTCCCAAGGCAGATAGCATCTGAAATATGGGCACCGCGTCTCCAGGCTCCTTCCCTGCACCCACGCTGGGTATTGGGCAGTGGCTTGGGAACTGGCATGCAGTGGGTGTCTACCCTGCCACATGCCTGCCACGCTTTTGTCTCTCATTGCCATAGGCTTCTAAAAGCTAACAGATGATTTTACCAAGAAATAATTCCCATACCAAATAATTCTCCCATGTAAGTATACTCAGAGGTTTGCACAATAGATATCAAGAGGCACTCTGTGGATGACCCTGGGCACAAAGGGCCATTTACGGATGCAATCAGTAGAGGATGCAGCCTGCAGCTTCTGGCTTCCCTGTGGATGCCCCTATCTCCCCATTCTCATTGGTAGTGTTGCTCCTCACTCAGTCATGCAAGCCCCGGCCCTTGCAGTGATCTTGCACACATGCCTGAGGCTGTGTCTGCCCTGGGGGCCTTCTTATCTCTGGGGCCTTCTTGCTGCTCTGTCTCTGGCATGCTTCTTCAGCTGAGAGTTCCTACCTTGACCCCATTCTGGCCACCCTTTGGTTTTGTTCTGTGTACTGCCCTAAGATTTCCTTTAGTTGCAAATCTGATCATATTATGTCTTTGCTTAAGACTTCCCCTTACTTCTCTGGAATGCATTCTGGCTCCTCTTTGCCTCCTTCCCCCATTCCTCTTTTCGACCCTTATTGCATCTTACTTGATCTTCTACTCCCCACAGCGCCTCTGGGTCCCTTGGTGCCAGGCCAGGTGCTTCCCACCCAGAACCCATGTGAGTGAGCCAGTGCAACAGTCCTCATACAGCAGGGCTTTCTCCCAGTGGCCTCTCCTTTAGGAGACTGGCCTTCCCTCCACCTTGATGCTCATAGCTCTGGCCAGCTCCCTCACTGTTCTTCCCCCCTGCCTGCTGTCTTCCTCCTTGGACACCCTGGGGCATGGTTAATGTACAGCTGGAGAGAGTAAGTGCACCCTAATGGGGTGGGGGACACAACTTGCCTTAGGTTTTGCTTGCCTGTGGCTCTGGGACTGTGTCACTGTAGCATTGCAATGGCCATTAAGAGAAAGGCAAATGTCATCCTCCTGCAGTGTGCTGATGAGACCTGTCTGCAGCCACTCCCTGTAGAGCTGCAGGCTGATAGGATGCGGAGGCCTCAGCCATGCCTGTGAACACAGGCCCAGTGCTCATCCCTGCACCGATTCTGAAAGGAAGCCATTTGCACTTCAGAGGAAGTCACGCCCAGCACAGAATCCCGCAGGCCAGTTGGGTCTCATCCAAGGCTCTGGCTGAAGCTCTTTCCCCGCGGGGCCTCTGCCTCAGGGACAGGCTCACCTTGGTGAGCAGTCTGGGGAAGGGAGGCTGAGTGAAGGCCACTAGGCACGGAGCCTTGGTTACTGAGGTGAGGCGACTCACAGCTGGCTGACAGCAGTGATGTGGACCTGCGCATGGGGTAGAATGGCCCATCCGGGCTGACATGGTCTTGGTGGCCTGTACTCACCACGTGACTCCAACAGCAGTGGCTCCTGGCGAGTGGCCATGGCCAGTTACTGTCTTCATGATCTTGTCAGTCATCGCACCTTCATGTTGGTGGTGCAGCTCTGCTTCTGCAGGGATGCTGCAGGAGATTGCAGGAAGCTCGCCAGCATTGCTGAGGGATGGCTGCCAGGGAGAGGCTGGATTTGCAGGCAGTGGGATAGGAACCCCCACTGCTGCTTGCCATTCAGCCTTGCTCCTTCCTGCCGCTTGCCTCAGTCCCCCTGTGCTGCTCCCCCCCCCCTGCCATGGGTGGGCCAGTGTGCCTGGATCATCACATCTCACCTCGAGCAGGACCCCAGAGCAGCGTCTCTGCTGAACATGACCCCTTGTGCCCACTCATCCCACCCTTCCCTCCTCAGCACCCCACCCCTCACCAGATGCCTGTCTTGTCACACATGCAGAGGACAGCACCTCTCTGTCAACTGTGTCTCATGGCTGCGTACATCTCTGCACAGCCCTTCCCTCCTGTCCTTGCGCCCATGCATGCACTTCTCAGTCCTGCTGTTCTTCTGGCTTCTGTGAGGCAGACACTGGCCTCAGTGCCTGGTTCTGTGTCCTCTTGTCACTTTGTGCACACACCTTTGAATCTTGTTTAAACTATCCTCTTTCAGTTCTTATATAGTTATGGATATGTGTACTGATCACAGCGGTCTACCTGGAGACAGAGATATCTTTGAGTCTTAGTCTTTGTTGCAGGAGAGAAATTTGACAGGGGAGGGCTTATTACTTGGTCAGCCGTTCTAAGCATTAGTATTGCTGTTGAGACATATCGCCAAATTGCCTTCTGAAAGGATTGTTCTAATTATACTTCTGGCAGCAGTGCCTCTGGTTCAGTGTATAGAATGTCGCCTGATGGTTTTAATTTATATTTTCTTGATAATGTGAAGAGTTGGGTGTTTTTTCACTGTGTTTGTTTACCAGCTGGAACACTTTCAGTGGAACTCTTTTAAGGCCCTCTAGTTGTGCCCCTGTTCCTTGCCGGAATGGATTTTTATTCCAAGGTTGATGGGCTTTGGGGCTTGTGTCCTGGCCACTGTGCCTGTGAAGTGCCTATTCAGTGGTCAAACCGGGCTCTCAGCCCTGCCCCAGTGGGGATGACAACAGCAGGAGGTGAATGGAGCCTGTGCCCTGGGACCTGCCCAGTGTGGAGACTGGGGATGTGTGTGTGAGTGTATCTTATCTATAGAGTGTAGCGGGCCTGAGGGGCGGGACCTCCCTGCAGGAGGCCACAGCTGCCAGAAGTGCGCGGTGCCATTGCAGGATGGCTTTCCTCAGTATGATCTGACATTTAAACCATAGCTGGACCTGAAACGGCATCTCAC